GGGGGGGCCTTGTCCTCACGCTGCTCCCTTCCGCATCACCACCGACGCTTGATCGATATACACGATCATCTCAATGGCTTTTGCACCTTCCTTTGCTCGTCGCTTCGCCTCCACCTCGTGAGTGCGGCGGAACGCAGCCTCTGGATGGTCTCCAGAATGATGCGCGGAATGGCATGCTCACACGCACCTCTTTCCTCTTCCTGTTGCCATTCAGTTTCAGAATGTCGAACGTATTCTTTGACGTCACCAGGAACGACCAGCCTCTTGGCCGCATCGTCTTCAAGCTGTACGACGAGTGAGTACAAGAAGGTTGAGAGAAGGAACGCTGCCGCCAACACAACCGCCATGGGCTGGGACTGCTAGCAGCACAGTGGGACCTGTCTCCTTGCTGACTGTTCTGCCATCATCCTTTTGCCTCGATCGTCCTCAGTGTCGTGCCCAAGACTGCCAAGAACTTCCGCGAGCTTGCTACTGGCGAGCACGGCTTTGGATACGCCGGATCTGGCTTCCACCGTGTGAGTAGGTTCAGCTCCCGGGTGCGCGGGCTAGGTTCGAGCACATGCAGCGCGACGTCCTGGACGAGGGCATTGTCGTGCAGCGAAGAAAGATGAGGTTGCTCATGCTGCTGCCGCTGCCCTTCCACATTGCAGGTGATTCCTAACTTCATGCTGCAAGGTGGTGACTTCACTGCCCACAACGGCACTGGAGGCAAGTCCATCTACGGCAACAAGTGAGTACTTGCACTCACGTCTTGTCCATTGGAAGCAGCCATCTCATGGCCTCGCCCGCTTGCGCAATGCTCAGGTTCCCCGATGAGAACTTCCAGCTCAAGCACACCAAGCCTGGCCTCCTTTCCATGGCCAACGCCGGCCCCAACACCAACGGCTCTCAATTCGTGAGTGACCGTTCATCATTCGCGACCACGACGCATGTCCGGGGTGATACTCACCCTCTCCTTACCGCTGCCATTCCTTGCCTGCAGTTCATCACCACTGTCGTCACCAGCTGGCTCGACGGAAAGCACGTCGTGGTGAGTGGATGACGCAAAGCGCGTCAGGCGGTGCTCTGATCTGTACTGACTCTTCTGTTGTCGGTGTGCTCACAGTTCGGTGAGGTCGTCGAGGGGCTTGACATTGTCAAGGCCATTGAGGGTCAGGGCTCCGACAGCGGCAAGCTGAAATCCAAGATCCAGATTGCCAAGTCTGGTACCGTCTAGATCGCAACAGCTTCGCTGCTGGGCGGTTCCACACCTCAACCCCTCCTGTGATCAACTTTGCCCAAATGACATGAATGAATGACAAAGTGCCAAATCAGAGTGTCGGTGTGTCATCAGACCGCTGTGCGCGTCTGAGAAGGCTTCGCTCGGAGAAGATGCTCTGAAGCTTCGATTCGCACGCCCGAACAAGAGACGTCTGCCGAGGCAGCAAACTCAAACTCTTGTCCGGCTGGTCAAACGCCTTGCTGAGGCTGGACTGACTGACCGATGTACTGTACACGGATGGCCTCCACCTACGTGCTGCAGCTGCGGCCAGATTTGCCCGTCGTGTGACGCTCAAGAGGATGGCTTCCATCATCAACACTGTGACTCCCAGCATCCTCTCGCTCATCTGTTCGCTACTTCGACCTACCTGCGCTCTGTCGAGTCTGCGACCGTGATGCTCCGCACTTGAGACGCTTCAACATGGCTTCGACTGATGCGAGTCGCTTAGACGAGGCGTACGATGAAGACCTGTTAGTGCCGGGACATTGCGCGTGCGGTGCGCTGTCCTTCATCATCGATCTGAACGTGGGGCGACCCAGCACGAGCGCCTACTGCCACTGCACTCGCTGTCAACGCTTCAACGCAGCTCCATTCGTCCACACTTTGCACTTGCCCTTCGCTGCCGTCTCTTGGATACCGGAAGCGCGCGAGGATGTGCGAGCGCCTCATCTCGACTCGAACACGCTTCAAGAGGCGCAAGAGGATAGGAAGAATAGAGGATTTCCAAAAGCTAGAGGAAGCTCGTGGAGCGAGATGTTGGAGACGTACGAAGCTCAAGAGGGGCGAAAGTGGAAGTTGAGGTGCAAGGTGTGCAGCAGTCCCATGGGATCCTGGAGCGTCGTGAGGAACGGGTGAG